TGCACCTCCCACAGTGGCTCTTCGTAGCGGCGACGCCTGGTCTGCAGTCAGCGGAGCGTCACCTCTTTTCCTCCTCTTCCAGGCTTTGCTGTCAAAACCTGGAACCACTCCTTCCTGGAAATCTTGGCTCCAGGGAATTGAGAGGCGCCTCCTCTCCAGTATCTGTCGCACGTTCAGTCCTCTGGGCAGTAGCTGCTACAGCCCGTCAGCTGTGGGATGAGGCCGAGAGAGGGGCATTTGCACTTCATGCACTGGTTCGTCACAGGCGTGCCCTTTCCAAACACTTAAGGGCAATCGATGAATGCCAATGCTAACTAACCCTGACATGTTAGTTGTGGGTACTGTGTAAGTCAGCCTTGGCGATGGTTTCCTGGTAAATAAAATGGGAATGATTAATAACAAGTCCCTTCTTACCTTACAAGACCGTTGTGAGAAAGAAGGAGTTGAAGGAGTCAGGTAATGTATGAGGAAGTGTTTTTTGGTAATGGCAAGGTATAAGTCTTTATTTCCTCCAATTGAGATAAAAGCTCTTGGGTAAAATTGGAATTGTCATTCTAATATGTACCCAGCTGGCCCTCACATTTAGGGAAGCATGTGTGATAAGTTACCTTTTTGTCACAAGTTTTGAGTCTTTGCTTTATAACCTTGTGTAGCAGGTCATTACCACCATCCCCACTATAAATGAGGAAATGAGGAGACTAGAGTGTGGAAAGCCAGAATCATTTTACAGGAGGTATGTTCTAGATTCGGAGCCCCCTGCTCGTTTTCTGGGCGGGCTGCAGAACCAAACCTCACTGCCTGTTCTAACTTACTGCTCCCACCCTGACCCAGCTGATCTCTCCGTTTTGTCCTACATTTTTTTTTTTGTATAGATATATAATCTCATGCCTTTTTTACAACTCCCAGCCTCCACGTGTTTTCCCCTCTACTTGGAATTCCCTTTGTCCCTCTGGCAAATACCCGCTTAGTGTTGAATCCAGTTAATCGTTACCCCTTCTGTGAAGCTTGTCTCAATTCTCTCCTGCAAAACTGTAGATACGGCCGCTGTGCCTGCAAAACACCATCTGCATGCCTCTCTTTTAGCTCTCGCTGCACAGCGTTGTGGTGCTTATTTACCTGCCAGAGCTCCTCAGGGATGGAGCTTCTGTCTAAATGATCTTGAATTTCCAACCCAGGCAATGTTGCATGAACGAGGTGTCTCAGACATAGTTACACTCTATCATTGACTACTAAATAAAGCTGTTGTATTATTTTACCATGATATTTTTTTGACTGAGGAAAATGGAACATTTAAAGAATAACCTATCAGTTCTTTTTTCAGAACCTGGGGATGTTGACTCCATTTTTGCACTGGGAAGTTTGAGGTAGAAGCTGTTAAACGAAAAGGAAAAACTGACTATCCCAATGTAAGAATATTGAAATATTGAATAGTGTCTATCTTACCCATGACAGTGGCTCTTTCTTGAACCTTGATGTCATACAGTATTAAATTTAATCATCTTATTGATTCCTCAGTTGAGTTTTTGTATAAACATGTAGTTTTGTGATCAGTTTCTATCCCAGAGTCACCATGGTTATGGAAAGTTTTCATCTTATTTGCAACTACATCAAGGGTTCTCCCTAAAAACCAATTGTTTTTCTTACAAAAGTGGACTGTCTTCAAAATAGGCCTGACACATATCCACGGTGACAGATTAGTTGGTAAACTCTATAATGGGCAACCAGCAATGTTTTCCTCACCCCACTCTTCAGACTCCCCTGAAAACAAACAAAAAGTCCATCCACACACAGATAAGGCATTATTTCCTTATTTTCTGAAATACGCCAAATGTATTTCTCTGTGAAGTCGCCATCCTGAAAAATGTCTGATGAAATTTTAAGTGCTTATTTTTGCCTATTTAGCCTAGGTTATTGGCATTTTCTTTTATAAATATTTAAGCTTTGATCCACTTCCACAGTGAGCATTGTATGTGCATTCTGTTCTATTTATGGTTTTAATTGTTTAAAAAGTAGACTTGTTCTTTTAAAATGTTACAAACATTGTAAAAGTAAAAAGTATATGTCTCCACATGACTCCTCACTATTGTTACACTTAATGTTTTCCTTTTGGAGCTTTTCTCAAGCACACACAGTATGTATACGTTGATCTAAGGCAAACATTTCTTGCAATGTATTATCTTAAAAAGTCCATTATGTTACTGAGAGCTGGAACAGTGGAATGGGGGACAGACATCAGTCATTCCTAAGACATAAATGCCCAACAGTTTAGTACTAACTGTCCTATCATTTTCTCCATCTCTTTTCATCTTCAATTGTTAACATGAGTGGTTCTTGATAATTAAAACTTTGAAACCAATTTTTTTGAGGTCAGCACTAAAAGACAGTTAAGTAACAGGACCCTTGTTGATTGCTAAGGGTGAGTTTCTTTCTATGGGACAATTTTGTGTCTGATATCAAATCAAGAAATGAAGCAAACAGTGAACAGTTAAGCATTTATTGAACAGCTATTTTAAGTTACTTTAGTAAATGTGTGTCCACATTTTACCATCTGTAGAAATGAAAGCTATAAACACAACCCAATATTTCATAATGATCCTGCTAATATGGTGGCATTTGGGATGTTTGTAAATATCACAGAAACAGATAGAAGAGCCAGAATTCATATTCAGAAACTTGTCAATCATGCACATAGATTCCAGATTTGTTGCTCTACAGCAAATACAAAAGGGAACATTTTTTTTCAAAGATGTTACATAAAATGGAGAATACTTGCATGAGTATGTCACACTGTATTTGTAAGGAAATGTAACAAAAATAAATTTTTAAATGTATTATTTAATCAGCAAAAGCAAGCTTTTTTCCTAGTCTTTTTAAAGTAGCTTCCTATGTGCATGCAGACACATGCATAAGCTCAGTAAAACTTGGCAGAAAGAGTATTAATTTCCTACTTAAATATATTCTTTCCAGAATTTATCAAAATTTGCATATTTTATACATCTGGCCTCATTAATTTCTCTCAGGAAACTTCACAGAATATTGTCAACCTCCTTCAACCTACTCTCACATAATCATTGGAAATACATCATCAAATTCCAGGGAAGCACGCTAGTCAAAGACACGCTGAGAAATTAGTGACTCTCTTTAACCACACAGGTGAGCTAAGTGGCAGCCACACTGAGGACTGAGGTTTCCTGGGCCAGCTCAGTCTGCAGACACATCTGCAACCGCACACACGGGGGCAGAGACGACGGTGCTGCTCTCTCTGTATCCCCTTCACTGTATTCCCCAAGGTTGCCCGGCACCGCAGTAGTTTCTGCTCCCCAGGACTCTTTGGGCCACATCACTGTTGTGAAGATTTACTCTTCTCTTTCCACAGTTCTACACCAAGAAATCTGCCACTGTCCCTAGAAACTGTTAGATGAGAACTTCATTTACTTCAGGATTAATTTTTTTTTTATCGAGGTGTCTTTTTTTCTGACTAAAGGAGCCTATCCAGTTCCTTGTGGGTTCACTTTTCTCCAGGGGGTCTACCGTCTCAACGAAACGTCCCTAGCCGGTCTCGCTGGCAGTTGTAGGTGGGCCGCTCTTCCTGAAATTCTTCCCTTTGCTCCACCCTCCGCGTCTTCACCCCTGTACCTGGGAATGGAAGCATGAGTTAGTGAGCCACTGCCTCAGCTTCTCTGGCCAGACTTTCCAGGTTAAGATGACTATTGATACTTGTGGGAAGCTCACCCACTAAACGCCTCGCCACCACAGCCATATTTAGTGGCCCTTTTCTTCACCCACATAGTTAAGTAGTTTGTTGCATCAGTGCCTGCCAGGAAGCATGGTTCATAACACACACGCAATACAAAGAACAGGGTCGTTTGCCAGAATCGGGTTTAAGTTCCAACCATAACCACACGTTTTGTGTCTGACTTTGGGCTGACCTAACACGCAGCCGTGTGATTCACTGCGAATCTATAAAATGGGGATAATGAAATGGAAGTCAAAAGACAGTGCCCGGCACATATAGACACTAGAAAATGATAGTTTCCATTTCTCCCTTTTGAGAAAATGAACAAATGAACAGGTGAAAAAGATGACAGCTGAAGGTCTTTCGCTTTGTGACAGGTTCCCATAAAGCCCCTCAGCTCCCACACAGGGGTCAGTTTGCTAATTCAGTAGCCTGACTTTTCCAGGTCATCCTACCCAACTGCTTCTTAGCATCTGCCTATTACCTCCTCATTATGTCTAGTCTACACCTGGAACCTTGGGTGTTCCACCTAAGGCACATCACCTGTGGTACTAAAGCCAGCGGGCGTATGCTAGATCCTGTAACCCTGTAGGGTTCCCACATGTATGTCCCAGAGACACAGAGACTCCTCTCACCCAATGCTATCCCATCTAGAACCCCTGGAGGCAATGGAGATTGACTAACTGGGATGAAAGGGCAAAGACAAAGTCACATGCGAATCCAGAAGCTCAACTTGAGTGGATAGAAGAATGATGGTATTGGTGACAGAAAACCTGGTCTGCAAAGGAGGGTGATGTGAATTATGCAAATGCTGTTTTAGATTCTTACACATTGGACCTCTTTAGCTCTCAAGGGGGGAAAATAAATAGAAAACAAACTATGAATAGAGCTAATCAAAAGTCAAAATGAAACTGTTCCCTAGAGTAGCATAATAATCTATATCAAATATTAAAGCATATAATCATGTAGGTATCCCTAGGATTTTAAGTAATTTAAATTATGTAAGGATGAAATCAGAATGTATAACAGTATCCATTTTTGAGTTCTGATTTATTTATCATTTTATCAAATAATGATTCTCTTTCCTTCAGTTGACATGGGCTAACCCATCATTTAAAAATGGCTTTGCTCTTTTATATACCCGATACTCTCACAAAGTTGAAAATAAATTCTTCTGTGAAATAATTTCCTGCAGTTTTTTTGTTTCCTTTCTTTCAACAACTGGTTTTCCATTGACAAAATAAAATGTTATGCTACATTACAGCCTCACTGTTAGAAACGAAGAAAGAATGGAAACTGCAGAAAGACCCACACACACCACAAAAATGGAGAGCATCCAGGTCCTAGAGGAAGAAGGGTGAGTGATTCATGTTATAATTGCATCTTGTATTCATACACGGTTTACATCTACTCAGTGCTTAGCTGTCAGCTCGTGCTTCCTGTTACTCCTGAAAGAGGCTTTGTGAAATGAATGCACACACAAGCTGGGAGATCTGATTTTGTGATTGCAGTTGCTTTACATCAGTTTTCTATTAGCTCTGTTAAGCTATCAGCCAAAATATTGCCTGACTTTATCTTTCTCTTTCAAAAAATGATGAGTGTTGCATGAATTAGTCCCCCCAAAATGGGCTAATTCTTTCCTTCCTTTTTCTGAGAACATTTCTTTCAGTCATTCTCTTCCTATGGGAACAATCTAAAACGCACACAAAAAAGATATGGAGTTGCCTAAATCAGTCAGAAAGGGTACCCAGCTGGTGTCTGGTCCCGTTTCCATCAGAACAGACTCTAACCAAGTATTTTCTCCAGAAAGAGAAGTTGAAACAAAGAACAGGATCTATAGAGTAAAGTCAAAATACAAGTAGATTACTTGTGTAATTATAGGTGCTTTCTTTTTCTACTGATGAGAACGTTTTAATGTTGATGCTGTGTAGTAGTTTTTCTTTTCTCCTTTTGAAATTTTTTAAATGAATGAGGAAATTTAGACATTTTGGAATGCTAAAAATCTTTTTAAAATACTTGCTAAAAAAGTGTACACAAACACACGTATACCTTCTTTGACCAAGTGTATTTTAATTTAGAAAATTATTAAATAGACTGATTTGAATGGGAAAGCAAGATCAATTTAACTATAAGCATCTCCAATATATTTCTTCCACTTCTTTAATGTACAAGCAGAGGGAGCAATAACTTGTGATTTCTTCAGGAAAATTGTCACTGAAAACCTGAATATAGATATCCCAAAAGTCCTACCTGTCACTGCAAAGGCCCTGTGCTTTGTAACTGTGATAACTCCATTCATGGACAACAATTCATTTATAGTATAGGGTGGGACAAAAGTAGGTTTATAGCTGTGAGTATGAGAAACATAGTGTATTCTTATGTTATTATTTATTAATTATTGTATTATTTTCCATACAAACAACTGTAAACCTACTTTTGTCCCACCCTGTATATAATAGTAATAATTATTAAAATTTAGGAAAATAGCCCTGGCTGGTGTGGCTCAGTGGATTGAGTGCCAGCCTGCAAACCAAGGGTCACCGGTTCAATTCCCACTCCGGGTACATGCCTAGGTTGTGGGCCAGGTCCCCAGAAGGGGACGCTCAAGAGGCAACCATGCATTGATGCTCTTCTCCTCTTTCTCCCTCCACCTCTCTAAAAAAAAAGATAAGTAAATAAAATTTTAAAGTTTAGGAAAATATGTGACAATTGCACACACTGTATTCTTCTTTTAGATCCAGTGAGAAATGGAAAAGAAAAAGCTACCAAAGATGAAAGGAGAAACTGTATCTTAAACTTGAAAATGAAAATCTGCGTAAGATGCAAACAAAAAAATTCAGGTTGCCCTTTTAACAATAAAGGTATAGATTGTTTCTATGATCTTGCAATATAGGAAGGTTTGAGCATTTCCAGTCTTCAGTAGGAATTGATGATGACCACCTTGCTATTTGAACACTTGGCCCCCTGACATGCGGCTTGGGCCTAACACTAGTTTTTGTCAGGACCCAGGAATCACTAACCCAGTCCTGGCAATTTTTTGCCAGATCAGGAGGGACTGACGGGCAATGACCACTAGATGGCAGCAATTGAATGGCATGTCTATCTGCTCCTCCTCCTACCTGGGCGAGCATTCAAGGTCACCTTTGATAGTAGGACCATTCTTTCTCTGCAGGCAAAACCCCACTTCAGATGAAGTCTTGTCCTGGTCTCAAAATTTTGACAAGATGATGAAGGCCCCAGCAGGAAGAAACCTTTTCAGAGAGTTCCTCCGAACAGAATACAGCGAAGAGAACCTACTTTTCTGGCTTGCCTGTGAAGACTTAAAGAAAGAACAGAACAAAAAAGTAATTGAAGAAAAGGCCAGAATGATATATGATGATTACATTTCGATACTATCACCTAAAGAGGTAAAAAACTGGGCAATACTGGTATGGGCTTCCTAAGACCAAGGATGAACCTAAAGGGACCTCTGTCCCAATAGGATAATGCATGGGGCGTGGACAAACTAGAAGGCTTCTCTGGATAGATCATTTAGATTCCATTGTCAGGGTCGATGTGAATATGTGTTTGAAAGCTAGGTCTCCTCACCGTGCTTTGTTCATTTACCTCTGGCTGAATTGGTGGTAGTCTACTTGCTTCTCAGAACTAACATTAAGAAGCCTGTTGAAAATACAATTTGCTACAACTGACACTAAAGTGGAAAAGAGTTTACTTTGGGGCAGTGTTCCTCAAAGTGTGATCTCCAGATTAGCTGCATGAGATTTCACCAGGAGCATTTTGTTTGTAGAACATATTCTTGAGGCCCACCCAGGACTTCTGAATCTGAAGTTGTTAAAATATAGCCCAGGAATCTGACCTTTTAACAAGCTTTCCGCATAGATACAAGTTTGGAAACCTCTGATAAAGGGGCTAAAAAAAAATACCATACCTGTTGATGTTTATGATACAATTTTTACAGAACTAAGGGATGAGCCTTTATGATCCATTAATATTCTTGAGGAGAGATGGGTATGGTAATTATTTTACTTATTCTAGTTTTGCTGTTATTGAAAGTGCAAGTTCCCCCCCCACCCCATTGCCAGAATGTACCTAATAAATGAGGAACATTTCGAGTAACCAAATGAGCATTTTTCCATAAGTTTTTAAGAGTCCATTTGCTCCTGAGAAATGTTCCAGCTGTTGGACTTAACAGTTGTTGGCAAAGGAAGGGTTAATAATATACTCCGGCCTTTGGAGGGCTGGGTTCAGAGGTACTTTCAAAGGTTTCAACTCAAAGGTTCTAGACGGCCTTTTCTTCTCACCGCCCTCTTTTTGCCTTTTCTGCCTCTCCTAAACCACTGTGATTTCTACGTGTGCATTTAAGTGTCCTGGCCTGGTCCTTTTCTATCCCCCAAGTGCAGCCTCCACGGCCCTCTGTTGCTTGCACAGACATTTATTTATAAAGTCCCCTAGAAAGGGGCCGTGCTCATCAGGGCCTCATCCAACACGGGATGGGGCCGCAGCTGACTCACACTCTTACCTTGAAATCTGTAGAAGTGCCTACTCCAGCACCCTCTCTGTTTGGAAGTTCACCTTCAGTGAGGTATACCAGAGTAATTAATTTTTTTGTTAGGTTATAAGCGCCAGTGGAATTCCAGTGTACTCCAATCATACAGTCTCTTAAAAATGAGAAACCTTGAATGGGATACACGAAGATTGTTTTATTTTTTATTTCCTGAATTAACATTATAAACGTATTTATAGCCACAAGGTGGGGAGAATGTTCTCTGAAGCCTCAATACATTTATTACTGGTGCCTTTGTGTTTCTAACACTATTATAATTCTACATCCTAAAAATGCATTATTCAGGTTTCTGATCTATCTAGAATCCTAGCACTTAACCAATAAATACTACTTGGATTTTATTAGCACATTGACTTTTTTCTCATTTTTATTTTAATACTGCATCACAAAGCAAATATATCAAATAATTCAAATGTGCTCAAAGGTATGCTTCTCTAGCCCATAATTATGCATAATTACAGAGTCTTTGGGAAACTTATTTAGTTCATTTCTCTCATCAAAATATGCAATATGTATCATCTTAAAATGATAGTTGTCTAGATTATCTAGTGCATTTTTTTGCACCATCTAGGTATCATCTTAAAATGACTATTTCATTTTTAAAGTAATGTTATTAAAAAGAAAAAGTATTCTCCATATTAAGTACAAATAGTTCCTTTATTTTAGTCACCATTTCTAATTTTTAGTTCTTTATGGAAATACTTTCCCATTGTCCCCACAGCCCCTGCTCTCCAGATTTCACCAATTTGTAAAATACTTAATTTTCACAAATTTACTTCTTCTTTGGCCATAGTTTAGAGTTGTCATAGTTATTGATTACTGAAAGACAAACACAACTGTCAGCCTATTTTTGCTCGCCCCTGTATTCAATTATTGTTTAGCAGCAAAAAGAAGCAAACCAAAAGTAGGTATTTGTTAAAAAGTTGTGTTTTTAGCCAGGGTGTAGCTATATTTACTCTTGAACCATGTCAAGGGATTTGATGCACTGACACACAGTACGGCATGCACTGCATCGCTGTCCCAGAGCCCTTGCAAACTGTTATGTCTCACTGACCTATCTATGCAAAAACTTGTCTGCTTCTAATCAGCCTCAATACGACACTAATTGTCTGACACTACGGAGTTATCAGTCTTCAGATTTTGTTCTCCAACACTGGACAGAACACATGGGGCATCAAAAGAGCCCGGACTGCACAGGATTCTAGTCCTGGCTCTGCTTCAGCCTAATTGTGCGACCCCGGATAAGTTAGTTCACTAACATCAAAAGGGACATCACAAGGGACACAGGGAATATGAAGCCAAATTGAGAATGGCAGCGGCACAGCCCATGCGGTGCCTAACTCCATCCCTCTGCCCTCCAAATGACCTGGGCAATAAATTAGGGTCCTCCTCACTGCTGTCTCCAGATTGGACCTCCGAATCTCTCTCAACACAGTGCTCCAAGCAGCGGGTACAATCCAAGTGGAGTTGGAAATGTTTCCCCTTTGGGGGGTTAGACAATCTGGCCTTTCTACCTCTGAAATTCTGTGACTGTTTTTACTTACTCCGAGTATTTTTAAAGAACATGAACGTCTGAATCATTTATAAAGTGGTAATGACCAAATACTAAAAAGTTATCAGGATTTTATTCTTAACCAGAACCTCATTTTTTTTTTCCACGAGACTTTCCTTTTACCTTAATTTGGTTGTATTACGCTTCTCTTTGTTAAATATAGAGAAAGTCTACATTCTTAAAATTCTTTATATAATTTATTTCCTACATGAAGCCAGTATGCTGAAAATTGCATTTCATTGTTTGTTCTAAAAGCATGTTTTATGTACTTTTAATAATTTGAACACTATGTTATATAATAGATGTCTGCAAGCAGAAGGCAATATAACTTCCATTTCTTGGAATAGCATACCTTTAAAGAGGAGAAGGGCCAAATTTTACATTTTAAAAAGAATCTAAAAACAAACTAAAAATAGCATAAGAGTAAATTTTCTGTTTTAGGCAATGTCCTCAAAAAACGTGGAAGTAATATAGAGGAGTGGAAGACGAACACTAGCCTTGCTGCGCATCGCGGATGCTGCTGGCAGCTTGTATTTATTAAGTATTGGAAAGACAAACCCCCAAAATAAAGAACTGTAATAAAACGTCTATTTAAAAGCTATTACCAACTATAAACAGCACTGAGCTATTGAATAGAGGAATAATTATAAATCTGCAACAAGTATCTTCAACCACGGCTGCAATCTGGCCCTGCCACCTGCCACCCACGTGACAGCGAACAGCTCGCGTAGGTGCTCTGCGGCTTCCGTGGCCGGGTTCCACGGAGTGAAGCTATGGAGAAAGCTCTCAGCCCCACTAAATCTATGACTTTCTTGCTCTGCCGCATGCTGATTTTCATAGCAATAGGAATTGTTTGCTTCTGATTTCACCCTAAATTTCCAGTTGCTATCTGGGAGGGGGAAAAAAAGCAATAAGCCTATTTAAACACCTGAATCATCTAAAAATAATGCATGTGGGATGGGCATATAGACTCTGTGTGTCCATGTTTATTCCTTTTCAAGAAAAACTATGTGAATTCAGCACTTCCAATAATTTAAATCAGTTTTTATAAACAGGGTTCATTTAACTATATTTTCTTAGATTCATTTCTTTGCGCATGCTTATTATCATTCAAAAATACTTTTCGAGTATTTCCCGTGACTTAATAGGCTAGATGTCAGGGATAAGGTGTCGAACAACGACAACAACCACAAAAATACAGCCTGTTCCTTACGGAGCTTACATTTGACAAATCATGTCAAAAACAAGTGACTAAGAATTGTGATAAACTTTATGGTGGAGGTGAAGGCTGAATGAGATAGAACAGGGGTAATCAGGTAAGGTCACTCTGAGTAGGTAAAATTCAGGTTGATACAAAATGTAAAAAACATTGCACTTGATCAAAACAGTGTCATCATACTTAGGATCAATTAGTATTATTATCTTACCTTGGGCTTAAACTTTGTTGTTGATGAAATGGTCTTACTATATTATTACAATATGAGTCTCAAAATAATCCTTTAGCCACTAGGATTATTAGCCACTAGATGGCACCATTTTACAGCAAAGGAAACATTCCCTGAGAAGTAAAGTGGATTGTTCGCGGTCGTTAAATTATATTCTTTTAGAGAGCGAACCTAAGCCAAAGGTCTCCTGATTTTAAATGTTGTGCTTTTCTAATCACAATATACTGATTAGTTATTCCATCATCTAGTACTTTCTTCATGCCACTATTACAGATTTCTTAAAACCCACCTTAAAACTTGAGGCAAAATGAGAAATGGAAACCATAGCTGCATGCCTGAACTCTCCCTGAGACAAGAAAGGGACACTTTCCCATCATTTAGACCCTACCAAGAATATGGGTACTGCACGTCTATCCTACCAACACTCTTTGGTCCAAGAAATAAATGCCAGCAATCAGTCTTACTTGCAACTTATGATTGTTTTCAGTAGAAATAATCAACACAAAATAATATGACTGAAAGTGCACATGGTAAAAATTTATTAAAGCTAACAGGACAACCAGATACCCTTTAGAGCTATAAAACTTAACATTAAAAAAAAAAATTCTAGTTAAAATTAAAGGAACATCTCCAGGGGCAGAAGCTATAATTGGTAAAATTGGATAGGGACTTATAAAAGAAAAGGGGGAAAAAAAATCTATTAGTATTTTGCTTAGAAAAGAATTCTAAATAAAACAACTTCAGTAAAATTGAAAATAACATGCAAAAAAATGGAGGAAAAATCTGTCATGATATGCAAGAAATTGTTCTAGGAATTAATGTAATTGACTTCATGAAGGCTTTCTA